CCCATTGTTACAATGGGGACACGTATCATCAAGGCAACGCTCCATGATGAGGAGGACGACCAAGATGGTGACAATGACCAAAATGAAGGTGAGCAAGATGAGAAAGAGGAGGAAGAAGACAACGGTCGTGAAGAGGACGGCGAAGATGATGACAATGACCAACATGAAGGTGAGGAAGAAGATGAAGAGGAAGAAGACAATGACAGTGAAGAGGAGGAACGAGATTATGACTTGACCAATATCAATTGCTCAGCTCAATATATACCAGACGCCCAGCCTGGTGGTGTCACCTTAATTAGTCGGCACCTCATCGAATTAAATGGGAAGCTACTCATGGTAAATCATCGTCGGCACTTCCATCCAGATACTTTTTAGATCAGTCTACGGGTGGATGTTTTTGAAGCAGACTTTAGCACACATGCTTGGGTGCCAGTGACTGGAGGGCTAGGTGGTGGTCGGGCACTCTTCGTTAGCATGAAATTCTCCAAAGCTGTCCCGGCGCCTTGTGGAGGGGGGGAGGAAGATATGATTTATTTTATGGACACGAACGATGTGTTCAACATGAAGTCTGGTACTTCTAGCCCATCGAAGTTTAGTTGGTATTCTATAGGGAGAACATGGCTATTCCCTCCGGAGTCGTGGCTTTGATATGCGAACATGTTCTATCACAATGTTGCAACATATCTAAGATTAGATATCAGAAAGAATATATTGTTTTAAAGTATTTTCTCTCATAATCTATCATCTAAAAAAATTGTTTTGTAGTATATGTAATTTTTTATCATTGTTGGTCAGACTATGCATACAGTTTAGCGAATTTCCCTAAAAATGATTTATAGCCAGCAATAATGTGTGTTCAATTGTAGGTGCATCTACATGGGACACAACGGACTAACACTGGTCACCCTTTTCGCCCTGTTTTGTCGTTTCCTTTTTTCAGCTTTCTGTTTCCTATTTAATTATTTTACCTTCAGTATTTTTTTATTGTATCATTAAAAAAATCATTCACTTATTTATTCTAGAAGCATGCAAAAAATTGTCCACGGCTGGTATAATAAGAGTCGTTCCATCCAACAAATTAAATGTTCATTGTAAATAACCCTTTTTTTTAGTTTTAAGTACATCTCTAAAAATGCTCCTTATTTGTTATAAACTTGTACTCATAGCCCAAAAATATTCATGGAACTAGTTTTTTAAGATTATGAAGTATTGTTGTTAGCTAATTCTTTTATTTAGGTGCATGGATATTTTCTATGAACTATAAGAAACAGACGTTTTTTTTTCCGAGATTGTCGAAACAAACAAAACCAACTTTGGGAGTCATATAGCATGTCAACTATCAAACAATTCTTGTGAAACTACATGGACAAATTAAGTGAACATCAGAACACATCTAGTGTACATGAACATTTTTTAAATGCTTTGGGACTATTTTTGTGAGATACAAGACCATACATTTGATGAATAAGAACAATACTGGCGCACTATATATGCATTTATTTGGTCAACTAATTTTTCCTCCTAGGTCATTATGCATGAATGTTTGATAATGGCGTGTTTTTTTCACGTATAGTAAGGATAAGGAGATATGACCAGGATGTGAGGTAAATAGGATGGCACAAAACAGCTAAGCCACCGAAGATGCGAGGTAAATAGGATGGCGCATTCAGGTATGCACCACTGTCGTCGCCACTGTTGCTGGCGAGGAGGACGAGGGAGCTTTGCGGACTCGGGCTCCGCTTCCTCCCCTTCCCTCCAACCACCAAAGTTGTGAAAGTGAAGGTAGAGATCGGCGCAACAACGACCATCGCCGACGGTCTCAATGTGTAGGGTCGGGTATTTTTTTTTCCTGTTTGTTTCACCATTCTTTGAACTAAATATTATACTCCCTCCGTCTGAAAGTAAGTGTCGCTGATTATTACAATTTTGTACTAAATCAGCGACACTTATTTTGAGACGGGGAAGTAGTAAGCAGAACTGGTGCTCATGAAATAACTCATGGTTTGTGACTACTGCAGAATGATGTGAAAGTGAAACCGAAAAATAAGAAGATACGAAGTACACACTATTGAAACACAGCCAAAATAACAGCTGAAATATGTGTGGTGAAACTCTTCGTTTGAGTAAATCAGTTTGAATTCAACAAAACATTTCTCGAAAGAAAATTGAAGGTGAAAGGAAATATGACAAAATCATATGGCTGGCTTCGACCCACTTTCCATCCCACGAGATGATTGGCATGTCTCTTTCTTTAGCACCAGAAGCTTGCCTGCCAAGGAAACTAGTAGTAGCTCATTCCATTGCTGAGTCACCTGTCAACGCTATCCCAAAATCAGACGGGCCAAGGAAAATTCAACAGGGCGACGGTGTACACCAAGTACCATGAGAGCCACATACACTATGACTGACAGGTAGACCAGGAGAGTCCGCAAGCCCACCCGTCAGGCACTCGCTGCCGCAGTGCGCGCCTACGCGTGGTTGTACGCGAGCGTCACTGTCGTAGGAAGGCTCGTGTGCGGGTACATATGACCACATGCTCGAATTAGAGAAGTTTGAGCGCCCTGCTCGGCTCACCTCCCCCTATAAAAATGTCTCCAGGGCTCCCCTGCTTTTCCTACAGAAACACATAAGCACACACTGACACACGATCAGTAGCAGAGAAGACCTGAGTTTTCTCAAAGCTTGGAGAGCAGAGGAAAGAAAGAAAGACAGGGACGGGGAAATTTAAGTGGTGTAGAAGCTTAGCAGGGCATCAATGGGGTTTTGCTGTGGGTGTTCGGATGTCAAGGTGCTCCCCAAGAACAACTCCTTGGCTTCCTCGCCCTCGCCGTCCGCTAAAGATTCCAGCGATGGCGCCAAGAAGAAGCAGCCTCAAGCCGTAAAGAAGGAAGGGAAAGAGAAGAAAAGGAGCAACCTTGACCGGGCCGCCATGGCGTCGCCCCGCCTCCCCTTCCATTCTCGACCAGGCCTAATGTAATAGATTATGCAGATTTCAGAACAATAGTGCATACATACAATCATGTAGGTTCTCTTATTAGCTTATGCCTGGGTTTGCCTCGGTTGTTCCGCTGAAGATTTCATTTGTACTGTGTCCACGTGTACTATTTTATTCATGGATGGTCAGTTGATCCAATTGCTGCTGTTCTTGTCAATTTACTAGTAGACATTACATTCATTGTCATCAGGATAATATTTGTTTTCTTACTTTTATCTTGGATTGTTATTCCTCTGGCTTGACTGAACTTACTAGGTTGGGTGAACAATGACATGATCTTTCATGTCTTCCCTCCCTGCGGAATGTGGATGTGTGATGCAGAACTAAGTAAAATAAAAAAGAGAATTTGTCATCCAATAAATAAAGACATGTCAAAATGAAAGTACTTTACTTAGGAAAGTGTGTTGACATAACTAAAGGATTCTGCTTCATCAAGGCAAACCCAACAAAGGACTTGTTCATCATTTTCGTTAACTGAATTGCACATTTTAATCCTAGTTTCTATGTATGTAATAATGCTTACCCCATTCAAATATTTCTGCAACATTTTACCTTGGAGTTGTTACATTGTGTCAAGTTTAACCAAATTTAATGGTTTGCCACTAGTTCTGACTGGATTGGCTGCACTTGTCATGCTGATGTGGCTGGTTACCGGTACTCCAACTAGATAGCATAGACCAGCGGGGTGCGTCTCCCTACATGCACTACCCAGCCACGTGAGAGATATTTTTCGACAAAAGGTGCTTTTTATTGACTCAAAATCAAGCATCGAGCGATACAATTATAGTGAGTACACACACGCGCGCGCCCGCGCCCGCAAAGTATCACGTCGGCAAATAGCAAAGTCATTCAAGACCGAAGCTATGCCTAGTCGAAGGGGAAAATGAAAAAGAAAACGAAAGCGATGAAAACAATGATTGACGACATACGACAGTGACCATTGGCACCAATCATGTCTTGGCAGCACAAGGACTACGAAGAAGGTTCTTCAAAAGCGACGCCTTCAAGAAGAGAACAACCTGCAAGCGCCGTCATTGCCCGATCCTACCATCAAAGGTCAGATTGTGGGTTTGCACATTGAAGCATTAGTATACAATCATCTACGATCCAAGCATTAGTATACAATGCACGGTCCTGATGGCTATATGCATGCATAAATGAGGTGTTAAAAAGGAATGCTCAAAAGCTGGCCTGATATGTCCACGGATGTTTGAGGAGCCAAATTTAAGGTGGGTGGCCGTAGATGCCCTAACAGATCTCTATACAAAAGATGTGGCACATGAAACATGGAAAAATCAAACGGGTTCCACCCACTTACCATTACCGGAGATGATTGGCAGGTCTTCAATCTACTCTACACGAATAAGTCATTTTCCCCTAAAAAATAAAGAAAAAAGTCGCTATCTCGAAGACCTTGTCAGCCAAGCAACCTCCCCTCTACGCTTGGTCACAGGTCAATGTTGCATGACCAGCAGTATCCTATCAGCAAGGCCAAGGAAAATTCAACAAGCCACGAGGCCCACGATGCACAACCAGCACCACCCACGCAACATATACACTACAGACTGACAGGTGGACCATGAGAGCCCTGGCGCCCACCTGTCAGCCACTTGCTGCCGCATGACGCGTGTACGCCAAACGTACATGCGTAACTGTCAATGGTAGCGCAGATCGTTGTCGTTGCGATGGGTGCAGCGCAGGTGACCATGTGCTCGAATGTGAGTAGCAGCGAACCTTCCGATGCCTGCTGAGAGTTTTGAGGAGCGAACCTTCAGCTGAAAGTTTCGAGCGCCACGCTCTCCTCCCCTATAAAAGGGTCGCCATGAGCCCTGCTTTTCCAAACAGAAACATACGCACCCGGATCAGCACAGCAGCGGAGAAGACCTGCGTTCTCCGTGAGCTGAAGAAGGAACACAAGAATAGAGTGAGCTGATAAAGCAGAGGAAAGAAAGGAAGAAGGGGAAAAGATAGTGCAGCATTAGCTTCAGGCTTTAGCAGGACAGCCATGGGATTCTGCTGTGGGCCTTCGGATGTCAAGGTTCTGCTGAAGAACACCTCCTTCTTGTCGTCAACGTCCTCATCATCGTCATCGCCTGCTAAAGGTTCGGGCGACGGTGGCAAGAAGCAGCACCAGCAAAGGGTGAAGAACGAGCAGGGGAGGGAGAAGAAGAAGAGCAACCTTGACCGGGCTGCCATGGCGACGCCCCGCCTCCCCTTCCATTCACGGCCCGGTCTCATGTAATGTTAACCGGGAACAATTAGCTTACGGCCGAGGTTGGAGCTTAGGATTCAATAGCTTCGGATGCTCAGTTGAAGTTTTGAGATTCCTACTGTCGTCACATGGTCTATTTATTCATTGATTGGTTGGTTGTATTCCATGATTCAAATTCCTGGTGTTTTCTGTCAATTTACAAGAGATGAAGTTCATTGTCACCCGGATGCTATTTGTTTCCCTACTTCCTTCGCTGGATTACTATTCCCCTACTTGACTCGGTTCACTAGTTTAGGCGAGCAAGACTAAGCCTACATCATCCTCAAAAAGTCTAAGTCTACATCAACTACGAGCATCTTTTTTACATCCATTGGTCAAAACCCATATAGATTTGACTGGTGCACTGGGCACGTTCCCCTCAAAAGTATGTGTAGCAAGAATCTGTGACAAAGCTGCAAAATAAATTAAACCAAACTTTTTCTTATCAACAAAGGCGAGAGAAAAAGCATGGTAAAAGCAAAGGAACATCTACCATCACTTTCTATCCCAGGAGATATGGTGCGCCTTCATTCTACTGCACATAAATAAATCGATTTTCCCCTTCCCTTAACGAAGACGTAGCCTCTCAGATCTCTTATTTCTCCTATCTTCACCTCCTCACACCCATCTAATGCTCCGATGGGAGGGGAGGAGAACCACGATTTTGCGTGTTTGACGTGTAGCTAGGATTAGAGCTTGGTATCGTTGCGTCATCGTTTAGGGTTTGATGGTGGTGTTGCATCGAATAATTGTTGTGCCCCAGCTTCAAGCCCATCTCGATGGCATGTCGACATCATTGAGGAGCCGGTGGGTCATTGCCGTCGTCGAGCATGTTCTCCACCGTTTGGTGGCGTTGGGTTTGTCATCGGCTTGCGGTCGTGGCTAGTTCGCACACGTGAGTGATCACATCTGGTCCTTCAGTTAACACCAGTGACTCTAGCTGGCCTTGACATTGGTTGGATTCCTACTAAGACAATAACGAGTCTCACTCTCTAGGTTTGTGTTGGCGACACATCGTTGTTCTTCAAGGCGTCGTGCTCTCCTCCAACGACCAAGCAAGCGACGACGAATTCAGTTCAGAAGGATTTTCTTGCAAAATTAGATGTATTTCTGAATCCCCTCGGGTATATTATGGAAAATTTTGGACAACTATCCTACACGTGGATATTTTATTAGTAATTTTTTTTGTTAAATAATATAATACAAATATTAGAGCAACTCTAGAAGAGTCGCCATATCTCCGGTTGTCATATGCGGCGTGCTCCATATGCATATGGCAACCGGCGCCATTCTTCGCAAACATAAAGTCGCCATAATATGGTCTCCACAGATTTAATTTTCTTTGTTCTTTTTTTTTCATTTTCTTCAATTTTACACGCGCAATTTGAGCTGAAATTAGTCTAAACCAAATGCATGTATCACCACGATAACTTAATTACGAATATATTCAGTGGCAAAAATGCGCCGCTTTGCATATATAATTAGCGACTTGAAATGTTGTTTAACATCATTTTTAAAATAACTGATGTTGCCATTCGAGCAACATTTCTACCGAGTACTACCTAGACTAGTCAGTGGCCGGCATTGTCTAGTTGTCGCCCTGCTCCTACATCTTATCTGAGAGATCATCGTAGTAGGCATAGGGGTCGGGCTCGTGACTCGTCTGTGAGTGTGGAGGCGAACTCTCGAAGGATGCACTCCGCCGAGCTTTGAGGGTGGAGAGCCATAATAGGACATCGATCGGGTCCTCGCGCTCCAGCAACGACTCTGACTGGGCCTCGACGGGCAACGACATCATTTATCGGGACGAGTGGGTCGATGGGAACGGTGTCCTCCTCCTTCAACTACACGAGGGGGCTTGATCACCACAGCTGGCAGATCTGTTGTCGTTATGGGAGGAGGATCTATCAGCTGCCGAGGAGAGAGTTGAGGTTCTGCTCTTCCACCAAGTTGAGCCAATATGATGTGTTCCTATGTGGCAGCATTGTTCCTAACGGTGGACAATATGGGTGGGGTGGAGGTGGTGAGGGAGTCCAGGATTAGGGGGTACTCGGACAGCCGGACTATATGCTTATGCTGCACTGTTGGACTATGAAGATACAAGATTGAAGACTTCGTCCCGTGTCCGGGTGGGACTCTCCTTTGCGTGGAAGGCAAGCTTGCCAATTCGGATATGTAGATTTCCTTCTCTGTAACCGACTCTGTGTAACCCTAGCCCCCTCCGGTATCTATATAAACCGGAGGGTTTAGTCCGTAGGACAACAACAATCATAATCATAGGCTAGCTTCTAGGGTTTAGCCTCTACGATCTCGTGGTAGATCAACTCTTGTAATACTCATATCATCAAGATCAATCAAGCAGGAAGTAGGGTATTACCTCCATAGAGAGGGCCCGAACCTGGGTAAACATTGTCTTCCCCTCCTTTTGTTACCATTAGCCTTAGACGCACAGTTCGGGACCCCCTACCCGAGATCCGCCGATTTTGACACCGACAGGTGGCTTGGATTTTGGTCATGGAGGCACCTTGCCGTCGGGCTTTTATAGGCAGGGATGAAGTTGCAAGGCCATCCGAACAACCACATTGGTAATTGGGAGGGAGCGTAGGAATCTATTAATGATGGGTGGTTACCATTTCGTGGCCATTGTTCGCTGATGATTACTTGTGCACGATGGTGCATGTACCTGTGCCACGCGGCTTCAAAATCCAGCCACGGCCCGTCGAGGAAGAAGTTGAAACTCCCTTCCGCACTTGGCAATCGGGACCTCTCCCGCCTGCAAATATGGAGGCTACAAGGTCGTTTATGGAGCAGGCTTCATAAAGTATGCCGGTCGACACTCATATGATGAGTTCCATTTTAGTTTATAATCACCATTTAGGCATTTTATCGGTTTTCTCTGACAATCAGGTTCACACAACCACTCTACTAGAGTTGCTCTTAGAGTATCTACAACCGGACATACCATATCTGACCCCCTAAACGTTCGCGGACGTACCCGATAAGTGACCGGGCATGTTCGTTTTGAGCCCCTATTTGTACTTCCATGCAGCCACTCGTCATTTTCTTCCTCATATGTTCAGTCCCTTGCATGTGATTGGTGGAGATGAAAAGAGGGAAGGAAAAGAAAGAAAAATAGTAGTCCGGGGTGGGCCATGTAATATGTGGCGGACTGACTGGGCGCGTCCGCGAGCCTTCATATCCTCTTTACATTTGTTCTCAAATATAAGAGCTCGCCGACGGTCCGGACATATAGAAATGATATGAGGCGTTCGGTTGGGTCAGTTTTTTTCTTTCTCTCATGTCCGGTCACTGGCCATTGCGTATGTGGACGTTTGAGGAGGGTTTGAGGATGCCGTCTGCTCTTATGATGGGAGTATAAACAATCGCATCCTCCTCCGGAAAATAATAAAATAATAAAAAAAAAGACGGAAGTCTGTAATCCGAGAACCTTGCCAGCCAAGGAAGCTCGGCTGAGTCACTGGTCAATGCTACATGATCGCCATTATCCTAGCCTATCAGCAGCGAGACCAAAAAAAAAATCAACAGTCACGAGAGAGGGAATGTACCTTCCGCGACACTCATTCCAGGGACTGATTGGTGGACCAGGCTAGCCACTGCGCCCATCAGTCAGTGCTGGCGACCATGTGCTCCAATGCAGCGAAATATATATAATACGGTGATTTTTAAGTTTTAAAAAAAACTAGGGAGGGTAGAAACTTTCCACTGGAAGTTTGCATCGAGCCACTCTTCTCCACTGTATAAAACGGTCGCCAGGAACCGATCATTTTGCCAGCAGAAACACACACGGTCCAGTTTGTTGAAACAGAGCAGCTTAGTTTTTCATCTGCCGAGGAGCAGAGTGAGCTGGGAGAGACAGGAAGAAGAGAGGCGAGCTAGCGAGCTGCAGCCATGGGGTTCTGCTGTGGGCCTTCCGATGTCCAGGTGCTCCCCCATACGACCACCACTTCCTCCTCATCCTCCTCCTCGTCCTCCTCCTCCTCCTCGGCTAAAGATTCTGGCGATGGCGGCAAGAAGAAGCAGCAAGAAGGTGTAAAGAAGGAACAGGGGAAGGAGAAGAAGAGGAGCAACCTTGACCGGGCCGCCCTCACAACGCCCCGCCTCCCCTTCCATTCTCGACCCGGTCTAATGTGACAGATTAGCCGAGAACCAATGTATTTCATCGAAATATATGATCTTGTGTGTTCTCCTATTAGCCTATGGCCGAGTCTGGAACTTAGGATGCATAGCTTCCATAGCTCCGTCGAAGTTTCGAGTTTTGTAATTTTGCCACATGTTCTATTTATTCAGTGATGGGTTGGCTGTATCAAAATATCCAAATTGCAGGTGTGTTATAATAGAGATTTTTTCCATTGTCCATCAGGACAATATATTTTTCCCTACATATTTTGTTTGTTGGATTATCATTCCCCTCGCTTGACTTAATTTACCAGATCAAACGAGCAAAGCTTAGCCTATTTCTTCCTGCTAAAGGTGCGGGTGTGAGCAAGAACCAGGCAAAAGCAAACGTAAATGTTGCACCCAAAAAATAGTAGAGAAGTCGAAATGAAATCATTTTACTCGGGGAAGTGCACTGATACAACCACACAGTTCCACTTTATTAACTTGAACATGACATGGACAAAGCCAACAAACGATTGGCTGATGATTCTTTTTTCCTTGGTTGGGGATTGGTTGATTGTTAGGTAGATGTTTTCCACAGCAAAGTTCCATTGCCAAAATCTAACACCAGAGATCGCTATATAATGTGGTTTGTCACAATGTTTTTCTCTAACAAAATGGATCTTCTTTACGTGATGCACAAAGGAGATTTAACTTTGAAGGGTAACTGCCGAAACAACACTAGAAATCTATGGAAGATAAGAAAAAGTGACACTTGCGTGAATACACTACTAAGGGCCTCTTTCATTCGCAAGGTTCTAAAAACGTGGGAATAGGAAAAAATATACGATTGGAATGTCCAGTTTGTCACG